TGTTTCTCCATAGCCTGTGCTGCCTTTGGCTTGGCAGGGGGAAGTTGTTCCACCTGCTGCTAGCAAAGGAAAAGGAAAGGGAAATCAGAAAGACAAGGAGGCAGGGTGGATGCAGCCCCGCCTGGGGGGCTATTATAAGAGTGGAAAGGATTACCGACCCTGGTTAGTACCCAAAGATACCCATAGGAATCCATTAACAACTGTTATCAAAGGAAGTTTAGGGGGAGAAACTTCCGTGTTACGGACTTTTAGAATGTCAGGGAAAGAGTTAGTCAAAGAAAGAGTTAGCAAAGAAACAGTTAGTCAGGGAAAGAGTTAGTCAAAGAAAGAGTTAGTGAGGGAAAGAGTTAGTCAAAGAAAGAGTTAGTGAGGGAAAGAGTTAGTCAAAGAAAGAGTTAGTCAGGATATATGAGGTAGTCAAAGAAAGAGTTAGTCAGGATATATGAGGTAGTCAAAGAAAGAGTTAGTGAGGGAAAGAGTTAGTCAAAGAAAGAGTTAGTCAGGATATATGAGGTAGTCAAAGAAAGAGTTAGTGAGGGAAAGAGTTAGTCAAAGAAAGAGTTAGTCAGGATATATGAGATAGTCAAAGAAAGAATTAGCAAAGAAAGAGTGAGTCAAAGAAAGAGCAAAGAAAGAGTTAGCAAAGAAAGAGTTCGTTAGGGAACGAGTTAGTCAAAGAAATTGTTCCCGCAATGTAAATGGGATTGCAAGAAGGAAATCTCGCACGAAATGCGTTTTTAAGAGATAGCAAATGCACGAAAGCCTATGTTTTTCCATACAAAGTCCGTCCCCGAACCTCGATGATCTACCTCTGCGGTGCGACGGTTGCGAGACGGTCTCGTGTGTGGTCGGATCATGCTCGGATCATGGGCGGATCATTCTCGGATCGGTTCCGCATTGTAAATGGGGTGTCACCTGTTTTTCGTGCATGTGCGGTCGACAGAATTCCATTGTGATTTGCAACTGTAGGATCGTTCCCGCATTGTAAATGGGGTTGCAAGTGGTGCTGGTG